CATAGTCCTATATAAATCAAGAATGATCCGTTATGTGAGTGCATCTTCACCACATCTTAACCTTGTTTGCACTATAGAAAAACTTGATAAAAGGTATGGCAAGGATACCTAAGGTTCAATATTTGGCAGCACTAAGCAATGCTTTGCATTAAATGAAGAAAATAAGAACAGAGAAAAGGCTCACGAGAAATTATTAGATGATCTGGATCACTACGTGGCAAATATCCCAGTCAATCCTTTATGTGACATATAAGGTTTCTGATTTACCAACAAAAATTAATAAAACTTGATTATGTGTTGAGTGGATATGAATTGGAACCATTGCAGTCCAGGACTTGGTAATAGTCAATTTTCCCGTGGGAGAGTATGATGAAAAATTACATGGGAAAAAGAAGCCTGTTCAGGTTCCTTTCCATCTTAGCTTCAGTTCACAAAATATCAACATGATTACAAAATATATTTATGCATTAATACAAAACAGAATGTTTGAATTTCATATTTAAATATATATGACAACAGAGGGACGGCTTTAAGATGTCATCTTTTTTACCTCTTATTACATCACTTATTACTAATCAAATTTGTCAATTTATCTCTGTTTTTCAATTTCTTAATTCCCTCTACGTGTACCTTAAAATTTGGGAATACCTTCATAATAAGTCTTTAAAGTAATTTGCAGGTCAATTTAAAATATTTTTTTTAAATATTTTCTTTAAATGATAGCTATTTATTTTTTATTAAAAATATCCATATGCACAAGTGATTGGCGTCCTCAAAAATGCATGGACCATGATTTTTTTGCTTGATCCATGACCTGGATTATTTGGAACTAGCCTACAGATTGTGAACCGTATAGCTCATAGATCTTCAACAAGTTGCAGGTGCTTTACGGGGCCATTTGGTTGTAAGAGGGAAAAAAAAATTAGAGTGGCTTAAAACAAAGGAGGTGAATGGAAATTAATGAGATATAGAATGAAAATAACTAGAACTTCATAGTCCTATATAAATCAAGAATGATCCGTTATGTGAGTGCATCTACATAATAAGTTTTGCATTAAAGATGAATAAAGGTCACTCAGGCAAAACTCCAATTGTGATTGGAGAATCACACCAAAAGTACTGCATCTAAGTTTTGTCTAAAAAGTTTTTATGGTTGGAAGCTGAGAAGGAAATCATTTTCACTTCTAGGCCAAACCTTTGGTTTATGTAGCTAGAACTATAGTTTATATTTCACTTTCACTCTATAAAATTGGCAGTGTTTGCAAGATAAATTTGTTGAGGAAAGAAAAGAGCTCCAAGAATTGAAGAAAAGATGCAATGAGAAACGACACCGAATTGAGGCATCTGCAACTTGTTGAAGATCAATAAGAACACAAACACTAAGCAGCTGTACACTCACCTTCAATCCTTGTGTAAGTGTTCGGTCACCAGGTCCATGTGCCTTGAGCCATTGCTCTGCAACTACATCATTTCCGACAGCATCCTTGGCAACAGTACCACCAGCTGAAGACCCTGAACTGTAATTTTTTTTCTCATTCGTGTTAATGGTTTGTATAGATGAAGAAACTTGGATTGAATAATCAAAAGCAGTACATTGGAAGATTAATAGTTAATTATCAAACTTCTTTTGGCCTTGCTACATGTATCCGCCAACTCACTGGACCAGAAACTAGTTATCAAACTTTTGGATACTAAATACTAAAGAATTGAGGCAAAATTGCAAACAGAAAGAAATACAATTCAGTACTCCTCCCCCAATATTATGAATGTGCAAATTTTTAACTTCCATCTCTTCTTTCCCTCCCACTACAAAAATCATCACAATTATAATCACACCAATTAAAAGCATGATTTACAAATTAGCTTCAAGTAATAATACAATTATTGAAGAAGAGGCTGCGCATCCAACAAAGCAGAAGCTAATTATTCAAGGTTTGAGAAAACTCTCTCATCGAATTACCATCAAATAAAAGGTGATAGGTTGTATTTTGGTATTTGTTTGTTGGGAGATATTTTCATCAGAGGAGTTATGATATCTTATTTGTACAAAAGAATTATCAGCAAATGCTATTTTATATTTTGAGAAGTACATATACTAGAGTAAACTCTCAACTTAGTTCTCCAAAGTTACACACGACACCACATTAGTCCTAAAATATTCGTTACTAAATTAGCTCCTTATTGATTTAAAATGTCACCATATTCACCCTTAAGCAAGACTAAAGCGATGAAGTACAAAATAAAATTAAAGAAACAAATTAAACCCTTAACAATGTGAAATAGAATCCTTGAAAGGCCAAATATGAGGATTGTTATATTAATAAATTTATTAAAATTAAAAAAAAATTATAATTTTCGACGGGTAAAAAAAGGGTCGTAATATTAATTTAGAGTTAGTTGGTGCGACAGTTGATGAAAGGGTCACAATGTTAATATAGAGGCAGTTGGTGCGACAGTTGATGAAAGGGTCGCAATTCCAATTTTGCAACGGTTTGTGCAACGGTTCTGATAACCGTCGCAAAATTGCCTGGTGACGGACAATTCTGCGACGGTTCCCAAACTGTCGCAATGTTGTCTTTGCGGAAGTTCTAACCGTCGCAATATAGGCCATATAACCGTCACAAAATCGTCATTTTCTTGTAGTGATTGTTTCGAATTTTCACCTTTACTACCTTAGTAAAATTTTTCTCTTCTTCATCTTTAACCTCTATGCTTTCTTCTTCTGCATCCATGGCTACTTCAACAACTTCTACTTCAGCTACTCCAGCCCTTGTTTATGCTTTTTCTGCACCAAGTCTTCCACTTTTGATAGAGAATGTTGCTAATTCAACTCTAGAGGGAGGAAGTGATCCTTTCGTTCCTATCCCTGGAATGGAGGAGGCTAGTCGTAAGATTTATCACTCTTAGGTACTCATTCCCTTCTCTACTCAAGATGGTTCTTCTCATGCTTTCCTAGGTCCTTTCTCGGGTTAGAATAAAAAGAGATATGCCAATGATTTACTCTCTAAGGATGATGCTACCTTGCCTTTCGTTTATTCTCCTAAGATAGATTTATCTCTCTTTTTTTTATACCACTAAAATCTTTAGAGCTTTCCCCCCCTGTTAAGGATAGACACATTCAGTGACTTGAGCATCTTAAGAGTTTTATGAAGTCAATATGGCATGTCGCAAGTATTTTTTGACTTTGTCCATGTAGCAAAGTATGATTTGCATGTTTTTTATCCTCAGATGTTATTATCTTCTATTTTCTTTTGGAACAGGGAAACTCGAGCTTTCGAATTTCTTTGTGGGTTTGTATGCCCGACTCTGGTGGATATTGTTGCTATTACAGATCTAAAGCCTATAGGGTATAGGTATCATCTTGAGGCATTTGAGGAGGAGATCTTGCTTATGGATACTTCATCATATGGGACAAAAAGACATATTTGGCTTCTATCAATGCTCATCATGGCAAGGAGGGTGACCCTATTACTGAGTCTGAGAATATAGTCTTTCTTTTATATTGGTTGTCTGCCTATGTTTTTTGCACCCATTTTCTTTAAGTATCAAAGTATTACTATGTTCTTGCCCAGTCTTTGCATTTTAGAAGAAGGTTTGTTTAAGTAAGTTATTATTGGCCTCTTTATACACTTGTCTTGATGAGGCTTTAAAGAGTTTGTTTCGAGAGAATGACTTTCGAAACCTTTCTGGACCCCTTTGGTTGTTACAATTATGGCTTAATATTATTTTCGAGAGGAGACTTAAGTTTGTTCCTCTTTAATCTTCCATCTCATACTTACTCGAAAGGGTAAGATTGGCTGCATTAACCCCTAAAAAGAGGTCTATCAAAAATTTTGGTCGATACGTACAAGCTATTCTCAACTTATTTAAAGAGTTTTCAGGTAACCTAACCCCCTTTCAGGTAACCACTCTCAACTACTATTAACCTTTCACAACTTCCCTCTCGATTTCTTAATACATTATCGAATGATTTCTACGAGATCTTTGGTCATTATATCAAACCTTCCTCTATTTTGAACATTACTTCGTTTCTGAACCCGTCTTCATTTTCTTAGTCTTCTTTGATTTTGTAAATTCGAGTACCTTAAAATTTTACCCAAACAAATCTATAAGAATTTATAGAAATATGCTATCAAATTTTCTAGCAAAAGGCGATGATGTGTTTAGCCTGAGTCTAACTAGTAACTTATTGAATTTAGATATATCTTTTGGTTCTATAGTAGATTATTCCAAAATTAGTAAGGACTCCTTTACTCGCTTCAATTGATTTATTAAATTTGTCTATATGTTGCTGTAAAAAAGCTATTGATCGTAGGTAAATTATATTTTATTCCATGTAATTAAATTGCATTTTATCCTAACTTACGTTTTATATTCTTTATGTACCACTCGCTATATTTTTCATAAAAAGAAATGGGTTAAAGTGAAAAATGTGGGAAATATAATTATATTTGTCGGTAATAGAAGTGTTTCATATATATATATATATATATATATATATATAATCGAAACTAAAGGAACTTCAAATCAACTGTAAGATAGTAAATAAAATTTCTAGACACACATATACAACTTTTTTTTGGGGTTATTAATTTAGTTTTTACTTGGTTGTTTTTGTCAATTTTTTTGACTAAATTTTGAGTCATTATAATTTTTCACAAAGGGATAAAAGTAGCATGTAGATAGTCCAAAATTTGAATCATGTTATCCTCATTATAATTTTTATTCATAAAAAATAATGACTACTATAGTTTTGTGAAAAATAAAATGTTCTAATTTATATGGTAAACAACTCTCGAGCAATTTTTTTTCATATTCTTAACTTACACATAATTATTTTTTAATACACATTTATAAGTTAAGAAAAATATAAGTCTTTTTGTTACTATATAATGAGTATAAAATATTTATCAATTTTGATGATAATTAAATTTTAAAAAAACCAGTCACGTCTTTTTATCCATAGTATTCAAACATAAGATATTGGTAGGTTAAAGAAGTATTTGAAAGTAATCACATATTGCTACTCTTTATTATCTTATTCCGTCACGAAATATATTGTTTACATCACATACAACATTTTAATTGGCATAAAGTTACTTAAGCATTCAAAATACATACATATACAGAGGCACGCTCGAGTAGCAACAATAGAAGTTTCCAATTAATCGCCGGAAACATGCGATCAGCTGAATAAACCCTCACACTCATACAATTCGTTTTGGCTCCAAAGTTCAACGTCATACTCAGGTGGAACATAGGAATTGTCAACTAAATAAGGCTCTGTCCAGAAATCTGCACACACTGCAGACTCCGTATAAGCGTCCACAGAGAAAAAATAATCATCATCGATTTCTGGAACCCAATTTTCACGGTTTGTTGCGGCTGCAGCAGCAGCAGCATCTGTTGTATAGGAATCACTGTGGTTCTCTAACACTGTCTCCATTGACTTGGGTAATTTTTCTTTTGCAGTTTCACGTTTAGCTTCTGATGACTTTTTTTCAATACGTTTCTTAAGGGCTGTGTGCCAATGATTCTTTATCTCATTATCAGTCCTTCCGGGCAATTCAGCAGCAATTGCTGACCATCTGAACGTACAATTGATGGATATCAAACCAACCTCAACACACACCACACAATATTCCGTACTCTCTTAATATTCTTTTAAATCTGCACAACTTCAATCAATTCTAAAGTCCGGATAATTTTTTTTATATGATATTGATTCATCTTTATATTTGTCTAACAGTAGAGTTTGTGATACAATATATTGTTAGAAATATGATATATATGATATCACACTCTAGTTAAAGTACTAATAAAACAGAAATGTTACATTAATGAATCTTATATTTGAGTTATAAGGACACGTGTTATAGTTTTATTTACCAATAGGAGAACCTGAAATCCACAAAAACTAAAGGACATCGAACCAATCATCTGGATTTACTGTTAGGGTGAAAAAAATAAATTATACAGGCAATTCAATATGATTTTAAGATAGTACCGTATAAAAGTTAACAAATATATTTTACATAATAATATTAGATAGAATTGAATGACGGTGTAATTTTTTATTTTTTTTTTACATTATTAGCATATTTTAATTAAATTCTTGTGCAACAGATATAAAAAAAATGGAATAAATTAAAAAGTTTATTTGTATTATAGTATAAGCAATTGTTGGTGTTGCTAGATGTATGGTGTCTGGCTGTCTGCATAGCTTTAAACTGTGATCAAGCTACAATATTATGGCTCTTTTGAATTACTTATGAGTTATGACTAGTATATTAGTGTAAAATATGCATACGAAGAATGTTTATGTTTATATAAGCTATGTTACGTTGCATTGAAATTTAGGATTCACGACAGATTTGTAATATTTTCTCACTTGAAACTAAGTAGACTTATATACTTGGCTTTGTCCGTGCAAATCATGTCTCAATAGACTCCAACTCTTTTTCCATTCTACTGTTTTGATTTTAAATTACATCACAATGCGATTGCGAATTTGCGGTAAGATGTTGTTTATCAGATTCATGACAATATGCGATTTGCATTTTGCGTGAAAAAGTGAGCGTTGAGTTGTGGAAACTTTAGAAGAAACAATAGCTCCAATCCGGGTGATATATAACATACATACCTATTACCCAGCTTTTCGTGAAGTTTGACAATAGTTTCTTCTTCTTCACGACTAAAATTCCCTCTCTTGACATCGGGTCTTAGATAGTTCAGCCATCTCAGTCTGCAACTTTTCCCACACCTGGCAAGACCTGAAAACCAAACCAAACAAACCTCTCATGGTTAGAGCTAGAACTGAAATCTAAAGACTAAGAATGGTTGAGTAAACTTCTTCACAAACACTCTTAAAAAGAAAAAAAATATGAAGAAAAAAATGAAATAAGTTTCTTCATAAATTAAATATATAAACTAATGTAGAAGTTTTCTCACGTAATTTCTCTAAAAAAAAATTACAAATTAGTTCATGCATAAAATTTTTGTAACTTATGATTCAAGAAGCTTGTTTCATTTTTCTATCTTATTTTTTCTCTCTTTAGAAGTATTTTAGTTTAAGTGTGTTTGTATCTTTGTTACATTCAATGTAATGTCAATTCTGAAAAAATTATTAGGTAGTTTACGTAACAAACGTTCATAATTCCGATTACTCACTGCATGACATATATTTAGATTTTTCAATTTATAAGAAATTAAATAGTAACACTAGCTTGATTGTTATATAAAAATTAGTTAAAAATTATATGGTTGAAGATTCAATGATAATTTTTCGTTTCAAAGACACATTATAAGGTATAACTAGAAGATCTATATAAAACGCAATCTGAGATATTGTAAATGTTCTAATTTTCTTCACCCACTGTAAGAAAAAAAAAAAATGAAAGTACCTGCAAACTTGGGGAGTAAGCGCCAATTCCAGTGGCCATACTTAGTGATATAAGCAATCAACTTCCTGTCTTCCTCTGGCGTCCATGCTCCTTTCTTGAGTCCATTTTGGTCACAACAAGGGGTTCTCACCATCTCTGCAGACTGCAGGTATATAATATTATGATATTTGTTTTTATCTTTCAGTGCTGTGGTTGTTGTGCTTCTGTGTTCAAACGTGAGACTGAGAAACAGATGCCGGGGCCGAGGTAGACAAAGACTCGGTTTACTATATTTTCTTCGCTTCTTCTCGCCAGAAAATCTTGAATTATTCTCCTCTTCTATAACATGCGTTCACAACTCCAACGTGTTGCACGTACATAACGTCATAATTCATTAATTCGCAGAAAAAAAATAGATTCTTTCCGACCTTAATTTGAGGGTACACGTAGTCAAGAAAAGATGGATAGAAAAATGTAGTAGTAAGTATAATGGAAATAACAGAAAGAAAGGGATTGGAAAAAGAAATGAGATATAAAAATGAAATCGAAATAAATGTGTGGAAATATCAAACATATCGATATATAATAAGTCATTGTGAATATATTAAATTTGACGTGTTATGATATTATCAATAAAACATTAACATAAAATTTCCAATTATTTTTTACGTACATCTCAAATGTGTATCTAGGGTCAACTTTCTACTGTTTATGCCAAATTTTCACATACATCTCAAATAAACTTTTTTTTGTATTATTTTTTTTTACTTTATTTTTTTTTCTACCTTAATACGCCCACATAAACGTTACATGTAAGATAAATTAATAAATTTAAACTAACATATACTTTCATTTATAAAAAGAGATTAATATAATATATCAAATAAAAATTGCAAAACAGTCAAATAGACACAAAAGATTGGAAAAATATAGATGGTGTTTGTTGTATTTGTAGATAGAAATAGAGGCAAGTGTGTTTGTTACAATTCTGTAATTTGTTGTGAGTGAATTTATGTATTTATTACGGTTTTACAATTTATTGTAGAGTAAGGCTCTCGTTATTCTCTTGCATCACAGTGTCCTTGTTTATCAAGAAATATTAATTCAATGACATTATTGTACTTATCCTAATTGACACTTCTTGTGTGCAATTAATTTAACTATAATAAAATTGTTGTCTTTCAAAAAAACAATGTTTAGAGTATATAAACAATAACGACATGATATTATACATTTTTTTAAAATATGTTACTAGTATGAAATATATACCAATTGGTATGGTGTATTTCAAAGCATGTCTTTTTTCCTATGAATTGAATGTGATTCTTTTTCCTAATCCATGATGTTTTCGCACTAACTACTTGATTAGGATTAATGAGACATTAACATTTAATTATATAATTGATGGATTAAACTTGGGATTTTAATGTCTATACTCTGTGTTGAATGACTTACCTTTGGACGGATGTTTGATTGTTGAATTTAAAGGAGACATTTTAATATTTGGGATTTAAGAAAGGGTCATTTCGTGTGTGGTCATGTGTGTAGATGTGTTTATTCATGTTATTATTTTGTTTGCCTTGAGTCTTTATTTGATGATTAAGAAAGGGTATCCTCGATCTCATGCATCATACTATATTTTGTTATTGCCTTGAATGATTAATTATGTTATGATTGGTTTATAACAAGAATTTGTGAATATATTATGTGGGCTGACAAAATTATCTATTTATCCATCATTCATTCAATTAATCCATATAGAAATTCATCTAATCTATATAGAAATTCATCTAATCTATTTATTATAGGAAAAAAAGAAAAGGATTGGATTCAATCCATTCATTTAATTTTATGGATGATTTTATCCACTACTTTTTAAAAATCTATTAGATTATATTAAATAAAAAATCCATTGGATTATATTAAGTAAATTAAAAAATTTATTGGATAATAAATATAAAAATAAATAATTTTGATTGCAAATCAATTTTACATTCCGTACAATTTTTAAAAAATGTTTTTTCTAATCAAATTTTCTTTTAAAAGAAGAAACTAACGTTAATAAGCATTCTTTTTATTTTTTTAATCATTTTTTTAACAAAAGAAACAACTACAAAAAAACATCTATTACTGATGGACTTTTTCACATGGATAAATATCTGTTTAAAAAATGACATTACCGACGAGTTTTTCTTATGAATATGTGTCCGTTTGAAAGATGAATAATTTTGACGGATATTACCCACAGATTCTTTCCATCTAAAATTTCAAATGAATGTTATCCACATATTTTTTCCATGGGAAAATTATAATGTTTTAGACAGATATTTTCCACAGATTATCTGCCTAAAATGTTGTTCGTGGAAAGTGCAAAAAAATTTGTCGATAACTTTAAAAAATATAATAATAAAAGATTAACAATACTAACTATTATAAAATATATATAATTTTTCATACTAACTATTATATATATATAATTTATAATTAAATGATAGTATAAAATAATAATTTACTATCAATATATATTTTTTAATATTATATATAGTTAATTTTATTTAAATTGAGAAATATATAATTAGTGAAGTGACATTGATGCATGATAGTCTAAAATTAAAAAGATAATTTCTTAACATTTATAAAAATTTTACCAATTTTGAACTATATTACTTTTAATAAAAAAATATTTGTAGTGTAAAAAATAATTGAATTGATCCAATAATAAAACATATGAATATAGATTTTTTTTCTAAAAAAAGGATTGAAGTTAGTGTGAAGTGTTGTGGAGCGGAGTCGCTAAGAGATCAAATATGAGGGGTGTTACACTAAAAAAAATTGTTATTTAATACAATTTTGAAATATTTTTTTTAAAATATTATCAATATAATACCCACAAAATTATCGAGGGATGTATCTGTGGGTAATTACTGACGAATGTATCCATGAGGAATTATTTTTTTTATTAATAATTTATTTTAAAAATAATAAAATTAATTCAAAAGTAATTATGATAAATAAAAACTAAATTAGATAAGAAATTAAAAATATATAAAATTCTTCTAGTCAAAGAAAAGTCTCTAAAAACGCTGTGGAACAAGAAAAATATTTGTGTTTTATATATAAAAGTTAATTATTCTTTGATTAATTACTAATTTTAATTTAATATATATTTATACAAATTTTAAATATGAATATAGATTTTTATAAATAAATAAAAATAAAAAATAAAAAAAAGATTGAGTTTAGTGTGAAGTGTCGTCGTGGAGTGAAACCGCTAGGAGGTCAAATATGAGGGGTATTGCACTAAATAAGATTGTTATTTAATATAATTTTGAAATGATTCTTTTAAAAAATATTATCAACAATACCTACGGAATTATCAATTGATGTAACTGTGGGTAGTTACCGATAGATATATCCGTGGGTAATTATCGACAAATGTATCCATGGGTAATTATTCATGGATATATCCATGAGTAATTATTCACAGATGTATCTGTGGGTAATTTTTGTATTAATAATTTATTTTAAAAATAATAAATTAATTCATAAGTAATTATAATAAATAAAAACTAAATTAGATAAGAAATTAAAAAATATATAAAATTCTTCTAGTCAAAGAAAAGTCTCTCAAAATGTTATGGTACAAAGAATACATTTGTGCTTTATATATAAAAGTTAATTAATCTTTGATTAGTTACTAATTTTAATTTAATATATATTTATACAAATTTTAAATATGAATATAGATTTTTTTAACAAAATAAGATTGAGTTTAGTGTGAAGTGCCGTGGAGTGGAGCCGTTGAGAGGTCAAATATGAGTGGTGTTGCATTGAACAAAATTGTTATTTAGTATAATTTTGAAATGATTTATTTAAAAAATATTATCAACAATACTTACGAAATTAGCAATGGATGTATATGTAGGTAATTATCGTGGATGTATCCGTGGGTAATAATCCAGGAATATATCTGTGGGTTATTCACGGATGTATCTGTGGGTAATTTTTTTATTAATAATTTATTTTAAAAAATAATAAAATTAATTCATAAGTAAATGTAATAAATAAAAACTAAATTAGATAAGAAGTTAAAAAATATATAAAATTCTTGTAGTCAAAGAAAAGTCTCTAAAAACGCTATGGCACAAGAAAAACATTTGTGCTTTATATACAGAAGTTAATTATTCCTTGATTAGTTACTAATTTTAATTTAATATATATTTATTCAAATTTTAAATATGAATATAGATTTGTTTTTCAAAAAAATAAACATTAAGGTTAGTGTGAAATGTCGAAGAGTGACGCCAATGAGAGGTCAAATTTGACGGGTGTTGCATTAAACAAAGTTGTTATTTAATATAATTTTGAAATAATTTTTAAAAATATTATCAACAATTCCTACATAATTACTGATGGATGTAAATTTTTTTACTCAAATAATACTATTTTAAAATTTTTTTACCCAAATAGCAACTGTGCAAATTTATTTCCCCAACTAGCACCATTTACTGTTCACGTTTAGAACGGACCGTTCTAGTTTAAAAAATAATACATGACGAATGGATCAGAGCGAGCCATTCTAACCTATAAATAAATTATTATTTTTTTCGGTTTTCACTTATCAAATACCAAAACTCAGAAACTAACATCAAATAATTAAATTTATTGAATATTAACATTATAAATATAACTAAGTAAATTTATTAAAATTCAATACAAAAATAAAGATCAATGGTGGCGGAAACTGATTATGTTGTTCTCTAATGTTCATCTCTGTTCTAATCCTACTAGACTTTGGCCGACCCACTAGGAAACTGATTATGTTGTTCGCATGACCCGCTGGGAGATTTACAGTAAGACTAAATGAAATGTGGTATGATTGCGACAAGTTCCAGAAAGTTCATATTCCTTGCTCGCATAAGCCGTTGGGAAATTTACAATAAGGCTAAATGTAATGTGATGTGATTGCTGCAAGGTATGATTGCGGCAAGTTCCAAAAAGTTTATATCCCTTGCTCGCATGACCTGTTGGGAAATTTACAGTAAGGCTAAATGTAATGTGGTGTGATTGCGGCAAGTTCCACAAAGTTCATATCCCTTGTTCGCATGACCCGCTGGGAGATTTACAGTAAGGCTAAATGTAATGTGGTGTGATTACGGCAAATTTCAGCATGATTAAAACAGAGATAGACATTAGAGAACAACATAAACAGTTTCCGTCACCATTGATCTTTATTGTTGTATTGAATTTTAATAAATTTATTTAGTTATATTTATAATGTTAATATTCAATAAATTTAATTATTTGATGTTAGTTTCTGAGTTTTAGTATTTAATAAGTGAAAA